ACTTTGTAGTACAACTGTAGTACGCGGAGTAGCTGGAGAGCTGGAAGATGAGCGCTGGCGACTTTGTAGTACAACTGGAGTACGCGGAGTAGCTGGGGAGCTGGAAGATGAGAACTGGCGACTTGGTAGTACAACTTGAGTACGCGGAGTATCTGGGGAGTTGGAAGATGAGAACGGGCGACTTGGTAGTAGAACTTTAGTACGCAGAGCAATCGGTGGAGCTGGAAGATGAGAACTGGCGACTTTGTAGTACAATTTTGGTACGCTTCATTCCAGCTTGCTTTTTTTCAGTGACCCAAGCTAAGGTCCCGAGGTAGGGAGAGACGAGAACAGGGAAAGAGGAGGAAGGAAGGTGTTCCCAGCTACGACGCAAGCGTCCAAGGACACACCAAAAGAAGAGCGGAGAAGGGTTCCCAGCTATGACAAAAGCATCCAGGGACACCCAAGGAGGAAGGAAGGTGGAGAGGAAAGAGAGAAAGAAAGAAAGAAAGAAAGAGAGAGGGAGAGAAAGGGAGAGGAGAAACAAGGAGGAAAAGGCAGGTGTTCTCAGCTACGAACAATCGTCCAGGGACACACCAAAGAAAGAAAGGGGTGATCCTGAGTCTTCCATTCAGGAAAACCCCAAAAAGCAAGGAAAGAAAGGGGAGGGAAGGGGAAGCAGGGGGACTAAGCTCGCAACAGGTTCCAATGAACCTTGAACAGACTTCGGTCGCTGCGACCACGTACGGCCTGCCCAGGGGCTGCCACCTCTGACCGCTGCGGTCACGTAAAGGCATAAGCCAGCTTGGAATTCCAAAGATGAGACAAAAATCATCGTACGTACGGCCTAGGCCACCTACGCTCGCTGCGAGCTGCTCTGTATCCGGGCAATGGATACGTTCGACGTACACCCGTTCGACGGGTCCACGGGAGGCACTCTGCGGGCTCATCCCAGGTTGGCGCAAGGCCAAACACACTTAGGATAGGGTGTACTGATCTGAAAGCGGTGCCACACGCCAGCCTAAGAAACCCAAATCCTGAAAAGACCAGGTGAAAGGGGTCTGAGTTCCTGTAGTTAAAGGCCACGAACCGACGAGGCGACAAGTTGACGGCGTTCCGTGCGCGTCTGCAGCAACGAAAAAGTCATGTCGGTGAGGTTCTTGGCTTAGCCTCTCGCCATTCGAAGAAATGGAAAATGGCAGGTACGTCGATTTGGCGTCCCAAATCGATTTCACAGACCAATGCAAGCGTCTTTGTTAGTGCCAGACTTGCATGGTCCCTGGCACCCCCTGCTGTGAAACAAAATCCAAAAGGATCCCTATGATTCCAAGGGTTACACACACATACGCAGACTCATATACACACGGACATAGATACACGCACAGGAACCCACACGCTACCTCAACTCACTCGACTTAACACTTCACACTGCACACTTAACAGATAACTCGCACTCTGACTTCCTACGTGATGAAAAATGCTTTCGGGCCACTCGTCGTCTAGTTGTTGTCGGCGCCCAGGACAAAACCTGGGAATGCAGACTGAGTTCCGTATTTCGGGCCGATGGCATATGAAGGATCCCACTGACCGCATCCAGTTGGGGCAAAAAGGGTCACCGAGCATTTCCGATCTCGGCCGCACTCGGGTGCTTGCAATGGAAGAGGTTGCCCGTAAACTCTTGCTCGGCTACTCCGATTGGTTTGGTTCCTCTTTGCGCTTGCGCAGTTTCTTTTTCCCTGCAAGACCACCACCAGATGAACCCATGCGCAGCGCGGAGTTTTTGGGGGGGTGAAGTTGCGCACTCAAGGTACCCAGACGGCGCAAAATGCGCGACCGTCCACAGACAGTCGGAGGCGCTGCATGCTGGGGCTGCAGCGCATCATGGACAAATGTCTGCCGCCATTGCTGCGCTGGCGCTGGCCAGTGGCTCTGGCTCTTTCGATGCTGCTGGCAACCTTATGGTGACTGCTGAGCATGTGCAGGCGCAATTGGCTGGTTTGCGTCTGTTCAGCGTCTGGTGCGCAGGTGTATTAATTGCTCGGTGTTTCTTCAGGTTAAGGTGGCCAGTCGGCGAGCTCAACCTTCAGATTCGGAGCGCTTTCCGCGGCCCCTTGCCACCTTCTGAGGAGAGGCCAGCTGATAGCGACAGTGATCCAGAATGCATTGCCAAGCCAGTGCACGGCTTTGGTTCCTTTGCCGCGCCTGCTGCTACCCAGCCATGTCCAGCCCTTCACACAGACGAGGCGAGCGTGCCCGTCGCAGAGGCAGCGGTTGAAGAGCCCGACCATCAACCTGTACCTGTCCCTTTGGCGGAAACGGAGCCTGAAGATGAGCGGGCAGAAGATGTTTCGGAGGCGGCTTTGACGTTTGACCAACTCTTGCCAGAAGAACAGTTCTTCCAACGAGGCCTGGGTGAAGGAGACGCGATGATCTTTGATGATGGCAAGTTCAAAGACCAAGCCCTCCTCCGGAAAGTTTTGTTGAGCGGGCAGAGCGAGCTCAAGCTCAGTCGTGTTGTCGACCTGTACCACCATGTTGACTCAACCGATGCCAAACGTCGGAAAGTCCGACCTAGGCTCGCCCAGGCCGGGGGGTATAATAGTGTCCATGTTGCGCGTGCGTTCAGCTTTTGCTGCCTTTCCTTGCCCTGTGGCAGGTGAAGGAAGTTTGGGGCGCTGCTTCTCGCCGCTTTCCTCGCCTCGGGTACCTCCACCTGCCGACTCAGAAGAAAGAAGAAGGCAGTGTCAAGTGTCAAGTTGAGAACATGGTCTGCAAGCCCTGCCAACCAGATCCTCTTCCATAACGAGTCCATGAAGGCCTGCCGGGTTTCCATCCGTGAGCTGTCCAAACGCCGTGCGCTCTGGCAGGATCGCCAACGCGACAGGCCGCAGGAGGAGCCTCCCAGATCTGCCCCGCCGCCGATCCCCAGTCGGCCTGCAGGTGCTGCAGGCCCTGCGCCAGCAACGCCACCGACAGGATGACGTGGAACATGGTTCTTAGCCGCATTGTGGCTAGCTTATGTACAGTGGATGACACGGCGCAAAGACGAAGAGCGCGACCGCAGATGAGTCGACCACAGTCCACATGAGATCAGACCTTAGGCTGACGGTTTCGGGAGAATCTCCGCAGATTCCATGACAAGGGTTCACGATGGTTCATGCAATACTATGCATCAAGCATTCAGTTCTTGTTTCTTGCATTTGAAAACATATGTTTGCGTTTGAAAACACCCGCAGCGCCTGAGCGCAACCGGCCCGCTCCATGCCCTATGAGGATTTCGTCGGCGCGGGAAAAGTATCCACATTGTGGCGCAAATCTGGTTGAGCCCGTTTATCGGCCCGGCCGTCCACAACGTGGAATTGTACAGTGCCAGATCATTGCAGAGCCCAGCGTTCTGGAGGCTATCTCATTCTTGGCTGCGTCGCTGGCGCTATAGAATGTTCCTTGACAGGGCATCCTTTCAAGGAGAAGGTGCTCTGTTGCGGCTGCTGGATCGCCGCGTTCAGGTGAAGGTGAGGCAGCAGCTTGCTGCAGCTTGGGCGCGGGAGATTCTATGGCGAAGAGCAGGCGAAGCTGGCGCCTTTTGTCCTTGCCTGTTGAGCAGCTGATTCAAAAGTGCTGGGTTTGGTATGAGCCGCTTATGTTTGGCAGGGTGGATGGTATGAGTCATGAGAGATTGCTCCCTGTCATCCTGCGCCCACGCCAGGCGTCGTCAGCAATTTGCCGCTTCAGGTGACCGAGAAGACATGCTGGCGCTGGACGGGAATGCAAAGCTGCGTAGGAGAACTTGCGGCATGCCTTTCGCTGAGCTTGTGGAGTCCACGCGCGTGGACAAATTCCTTCTTCGTGGCTGTAGTTGCAAGCCCCACGGACGCGATGCGCTTTGCAAGAAACATGCTGCAGATCGCGAGTGATTGCCCGGTGGGAGAGATCGGAAAACGCCGGTTGAAAAGGGCTCTCCACAAGGCCCAGGACGTTTGCCATCTTGAGGTGCAATTGAAAGGTTTTGGCTCTTGGCAGCCAGCTTGCACTGTCCCTGAAAGTTTGCTTTCGAAGTATTTTGCTTCTCCGGCTGACAAGAACATTCGACACAGGAGCCTCCCCCCACAAGTTTGTTTTGCGACAGCATTTTTGCCACACCTGGTTGATTGTTATATTGCGAGTCTTGAACCATGGTGTCTGCAGGAGAGAGCGACGGATCGAGAGCAGAAAGCAGAAGTGCTGGGCCGGTATGCGACCTGGACTTCGTCGGCGGAAGACCTTTCAGGCTTCATGGAGTTCTGCGCGGCCAAGGCAAGAGAGCGCGTGCAAGACGCACAAGGAGACAGGCGCAGCAGCTGCTGCCAGAACCGCCGGGTTCTTGCTGGCTGTGACGCCTTCAGGACCTCACACTATGGTCAGTGGACCCCATCACGCGCCCCCTTTGCGAAGGACTTGTTGCGGATGTGCACGAGCGCAATGGAGCAGAGAGTCTTTCGCAGCGTTATCACTTCTGCTCGACGCTGCTGCACCGAATCCCTCAAACCCTGACGATAGTCCATGATGACGGTTGGCGCTTGAAACTAATGCGCCGGGACCAGAGGCAGTCGTCTACGTCAGATGTGGCCTGTCGCTTGGCCCAGACGAACTTCATAGTGGATCGTTTCCACGCTGCGGCTCACACTGTGCGATATTGCAGCCAGCATTGCCTTCCATCGCTGCCTCGGAATGAAGAAATTCAGGCAGACTTCCCCACTGATGCTGCGGAAACTGTAAATAGCCAGTTCAGCCCACTTGGACACGTGATTCACCACACATGCTCGTAATGGCAACTTTCCATGCAGATCCATCCCATGAACCTTGACCTCAAAAGATGCGCGATGTCCACAACAGGGCCCGCCTGCAGGCTCTGGGTGATCGCAGCCGGGCAGCGGCGAAGCGGCGGCGACGTGGATTCAAGTGATATGCATCACGCGTCGTCGAATGGAACGGAAAAATGCTGCAGCATCCCCCTAAAAATTCCCCCTACAGATTGGTGCTACCTGGGTACTCCCGAGCGTCCATTTTATAGAACTATAGAATTGAGACACTCAGGTTCCTTGATTCTAAAAGGAGACCACGAGATACCACGGGAAGTTTCCGACAAGGGTGCAATTTGACCTAGTTGACCTGGGGGTCGTGATTCTAAAGTGATAGAACTCTGAGATCTATGTTTCCGTGAGCTTTGTACTGGTGACATGGGGACTTTGATTTCTTAGTGGCAGACATGTTGATGGTCATTGACTGATTATGATTCTATAGAGGAACAACCTTTGAGTGCTTTTTTTGTGATAGAATCAGAGTCTTTTGAGCATATAGTATTACAAGGAATCGGTCTGTGAGATGGGGTTGTGATTCTTTAGTGTTGAAAACTTCATACATACTTTCCGTGAGCTTTCACTTCACGACATAGGGGCTGTGATTCTATAGCGTGCGCTTGAGTTGGGGGGCATGATTTTATAGAGACCCCCACATGGGGGGCGTGGATCTATAGTATGAAATGGTGCTACCCAAGTAGCCATATGAATTTCAAAGGGGATGTTGCGGCAGATTCAATGGAGCGGTCAGCTTAACATGGTATATTGCTGCAGTGTTAGCTTTGGATGGTGTGCTCCAAATTTGCCCCACAGCACCAACCGGCCACCGATCACCGACTAGCCCGTCACCAGCCGCTGACCGCGGCCACCGGCCTCGCGGCCGCTGACTGCCGCCGCCGACGCCGCCACCGGCTACCGGCCACCGGCCGCCGGCCACCGGCCACGCGAAATTAGTCTATCGCCTGGCCATGTAGCATTTCTATTCATGTGTCTCCCAGGTCTGTCACTCCCAGTGTCCGCCCTTTTCCGCTGGCCATGCAGCGTTTCTTCTCCCATTGATGTCAATACGGAGGACAACCAAGAAAATCAGACTATGCAGTCGGATGCCACGGAAGACGTCGGGTTCCCGGCTGGGTTGTCTCCCACTTCCTTTCATTCTCGGTGTTCCCGGCCGGCTTGTTTCCCTCCTTGAATGTGTCTCCCACTTCTTTTCATTTGTCTCCCAGGCTGGGTGCTTGTTCCTTTTATTTGTCTCCCGCTTCTTTTGTTTCCCATGTCTGTCACTGCTAATTTCTGCCCTTTTCCGCTGGCCATGCAGCATTTCTATTCATGTCCCAGGTCTGTCACTGCTGGTGTCCGCCCTTGTCCGTTGGCCATGCAGCATTTCTATTCTTTTGTCTTGCAGGTCTGTCACTGTTGTGTGTCCTTGTGTATTGGCCATGAAGCATTTCTATTCGTTTGTCTGCCAGGTCCGTCACTGCTGGTGCCATGTAGCATTCATTTGTTTCCCAGGTCCGTTACTGCTGCTGTCCGCCCTTTTCCGTTGGCCATGCAGCATTTCCATTCATTTGTCTCCCAGGTCTGTCACTGCTGGTGTCCGCCCTTTTCAGCATTTCTATTCATTAGTCTCCCAGGTCTGTCACTGTTGGTGTCCGCCCTTTTTCCGCTGGCGATGCAACATTTCTATTCATTTGTTTTCCAGGTCTGTCACTGCGTCCGCCCTTTTCCGCTGGCCATGCAGCATTTCTATTCATTTGTTTCCCGGGTCTGTCACTGGTGCTGCCGCCCTTTTCCGCTGGCCATGTAGCATACCTATTCATTTATCCCCCATGTGACTTCTTTCTTTTTGTCTTTCAGGTTTGGTGCCTGCACTGCTGTTTTCTGCCCTGTCCGCTGGAACAGGTTCGCGTGTGAAAGGTTCTTGCTCCATTGAAAGGGGTGCGTGACTGTCTCCGGGATTGCATTGCTGCCACGCTGTGTAACTCTCTCAGCTTTGTTTTCCTTTTCGGGCAAGCGTTGGATGAATGACCGGATTGGATTTCGGCGGCGTGGCAGCGATCTCTCTGTTCAGTTGCGACGGAGGGCATACGTCAGGCACCAAAAATCAATTTCATGTCACATCCGCTCCTCATGCTTTTATTTCTTGTCCTCACGTGGTCAGCTGCCCGGTGATTGAGCAGCATGACCAGCATCATGTTCGCACTTGAAGAATAATTCCCCAAAAGGTTTACTGTTAAGGGCTTCTCAATTCTTTCTTAAGATGTGTCCGCCCGCTCTGTACTGCTGTGTCCGTCTCTGCCTTGCAATCCTTTACATTTGTCTCCCAGCTCTGGACGTCGCAAGCTCTAAACTAACTGTTTGGGGTCTACGGTGGTGTAATATCACCAGATAGACGAAGAAGGTGCCATTCCAAGGTAGCAAACCTTTTGTCAGCCACCGGAGGGCAAAAATTAGAAGAGGAAGGAGCCATTCCAACGTTGCAGACCTTTTGTTAGCCTTGCGAGGCATTCCAACGTAGCAGGCCTTTGTTTTGTGAGCAAACCGAGGGTAGAATTTGCTATTCCAACGTAGCAGACCTTCTGTGAGCCACCCGGGGATAAACTTAAGGTGCCACGCCAAGGCAGCAGACCTTCTGTGAGCGAAATTTAGAGGGAGGAGCAGTAGACCTTATGCGAGGGCAAAACTTTAGGGGAGCTAACATAGCTCCACTGAGATCCATCTACAGAAGCCTAGAGGTCTGAAATTCAGAGAGATCACGGTTGAGATGCAGAGAGGTTTAGATCTACAAAGATCCAAAGGCCTGGAGATCCAGACGGATCTGCAGGTGTAGAGGTCTAGAAACCCACAGATCTAAAGATGGAGGTTTAGAGGTCTTGGGTCTTGAGATCCAGGCAAGTCTTGCAATCTAAGTTCTACGCGGGTGTAGAAAGATGTTCAGATCCAGATCCAGAGATCAAGAGCTCTTTTCACAGGTCTTGAGATCCACAGAAATTTCGCGCACGCCACGCAATCTGCACTTCAAGGTTCGCAATCGCTGCGCCTACCACGAAGTCTGCGCTTATAGACAGGTTCACCCAGCGCTGTGCCTGCCGCGCAATCTGCACTTCGAGGTTCACCGCCGCGCCTGCCACGCAATCTGCACTTCGAGGTTCACGAAGTGCTGCGCCTGCCATGAAAGCTGCAGTTCCAGTGCACAAAGTGCTGCGCCTGCCACGAGCCTTGCGCTCCTGCCATGAGGTGCTCAAAGTGCTGTGCCTGCCACAAAATCTGCACTTCCAGCGCACAAAGCGCTGCGCCTGCCAGGAAATCTGCGCGCCCAGATTCACATCGCGCAGCGCTGCCAAGGCGGTTCGCAGTGGCAGGCGCAGCTCTTTGTGAAAGGAAATTTTGTTTTTGATACCAAGTAGTTTTCTTTTTGATAGGATGTAGAAATTTTCTTTTTGATACAATATATATGTATATATATAAATTTGTTTTCTTTTTGATAGCCCGGCCGAGATCGTGCGTGTCGAGGGCGCGAAATGCAGGTGAGATTGCGTTTTGGCCCGGTCGCGGGCAACCCTCTGCGGAGATCGTGCGCATCGAGGGCGCGAAATGCAGGTGAGATTGCGTTTTGGATTGGTCGCGCGCGACCCTCTGCGGAGATCGCGCACGCCGAGGGCGCGAAACGCAGGTGAGATTGCGTTTTGGATTGGTCGCGCTTGTCTCGTACGAAACGCTCGTTTTGGAGACTTGGCGCTTCACTTTTGGAGGAAGTCTCGTACGAAACGCTCGTTTCGGAGACTTCGCGCTTGACTTTTGGAGGAAGTCTCGTACGAAACGCTCGTTTCGGAGACTTCGCGCTTGACTTTTGGAGGAAGTCTCGTGCGAACGCTCGTTTTGGAGACTTGGCGCTTGACTTTTGGAGGAAGTCTCGTACGAACGCTGGTTTTGGAGACTTGGCGCTTCACTTGTGGAGCTGGACTCAGACCTGGCCAGTTTGTAGTACATATTATGTAGTACGGGAAAGAGCCTCCAGAAGTGGCCAGTAGTACAAATGTAGTCCGGAAAACAGCGTTGCGGAGCTGGACTCAGAAGTGTGGGATATGACTGCTTCTAGTGTGCGGGCAGACCGTGTGGCGAATTACGTTCGTGATGTCGCAGTGCCACGCGGATTTCCGAGGTCTTGGTGGGAAGTGCGTTTGCGCGGCGCCGTGCCACTGGGGAGCGCGAAACATTGTCGTATACACGCGGCGTGTCGCTGGTGAGCGGGATGATAGGCGGTATCGTGTGATAGGATTGCTTCTAGTGCTGGGATGTCCCGCGAAGATCTTATTGGTTAGAAGAGTTATAAATGGTTAGATAAGTTCCAATAAGCTAGTTATAAGCTCTAGTAAGTAGGTTATAACTTCTAGTAATGGTTTATAACCTCTCTAACCACTTCTAGGTTTGAGGCTAACCTCTATAAACTTTATATCGTTTATCTAACCTCTTAGCTTGTTTGTTAGAGGTTAGCCACTTCAACAAACCCTAGGTTACTAAGTGGTTAGCTGATTTGCTAACCATTTAGCTTAAGGGTTAGCTGGTAAAGCTCTCCGAGGACTGAAAAAATGTGGTGTCGGTGACTTTTTGGTCACCAAGTCTCACCACAACATGTTTGAATGTTTTTGATTTGTTTTTTGAAAAATCTACAGTGTACACATAGTAATTTTGCATTTTCATTGTTGCATTTTCATTAATTGTGGGTTCTTGCCATGTCATGTCCAAGCCTGGTGGGTTTACCCTGTAGAGAGCATGCATGTTTAGTTGTGATTTGCCATGTTCATTTGAAATTTCACACTTTCATTTTTTGACTTTTTGGTCACCATGTCATGTCCAAGCCTGGTGGCTTTACCATGTAGAGAGCATGCATGCTAGTTGTGATTTGTCATGTTCAT